GTTCATTGTAGGCAAAAGCTGTAGCAGCTCAAAGTTTTGGAGGTTTTTGTTTTTCTGTGAGGGTTTTTGAGACAAGGATGTATATATTTACAAACTAGACTTAGAGGTTCAAGGTCATCCTCTGTTATAACACACACACACACACAAATCCCTGTACTGAGGAGTCAATAGGAAAGCAGCAGCAGCAGCAGCTGAGTGGCTATGTGAATTACAATTGTCATAAAACTGAAATGACCAGGTCTGTGGTTCTGCACTGCAGCCTCAGCCTCAGATGTCAAACTCACCCACATCCATCTCCCACTTAATTCTCTCTGTATCTATACTACTCTGCTCTACCTCCCAGACCTCTTGTCACCCCAGCAGTCACTGCCTCACCCAGGTCTCCAGCATACAGTTTTTTTTTTCTCCCATGCCTGTAAAATAATATACAAGCTAAACATCTTTAACAGTCTAAGACATCAGTGCTCATGTCAAGTATAGTTTGAGTGAATGTTGACTACAAGTTCTACAATAGCCTAGCAATGTAAAGTTATATAATAAGGTAAGAAAATGACAGGGAAATACTAACAGTGATTACACAAAAAAATAAATACTCCACATATTACTGTCCATATAGATAAGAATGATTCCATATGTTTACATTAAAATTACATACACTTCATACTAGGTTGACAGTAGCTCAGTGACTGAGTGCTTACTTGCATGTATGAGACTGTATTTGAGAATGGCAAAAAAAGAAAAAGAGAAAAATTAAAAATAAAAAACACTACAGGAACCAGGCATGGTGGCAACCATTCACCAGGCTATGGCAAGTGTTAGTATTCTGTCTAAACTCCACTCCAAAGTTATCTGGCAACAGCCACGTATGCTCCTCCCCACTATAAAAGGGGCTGCTTGCCTCCTCCTCTCTCTCTTGCTCTCTTGCCTCTAGCTTCTCTTGGTCCACTTGCCCCTCCCCTCTTCCCTTCCCCCTCTCTCCACGTGGTCATGGCCAGCCTCTACTTCCCGCCTCTCTCTCTCTCTCTCCTCGCTCTCGCGCTCTCTCGCTCTCTCCCCCTCCCCCTCCCCCTCTCCCTCCTCCTACCCCTATCCCTCTCCCTCTCCCTCAGCCATCTTCTTCTATTTCTCTCCCCCTACCTTTGCCCTGAATAACCACCCCACACACACCCGCCTTGGAACCGTTTGGTCTGGTGTTGTCAGTTCTAAGCTGTGCGCAGACGTCTAAAAGCAAGGGAGACTAAGCTGGGTTACACAGTGAAAGCCGATCTTAATTCACCTTACATGCTAAGATTTATTCATCCTGGTTTGTTTTGGGTTTTTTGATAACTAAAACTTCCTGCTTCGTTTTAGAAGACACTCTACAACATCCTCCTGCCTCAAACAGTAAGAATCCAGGTCAGAGATCAAGTCAACAGGAACGAGTGGAATTTCTAGTCTTATGTTTACTTTTATGGTAACAAAGCCAGCAACATGGAAATACAGTCTGAATAAAAGCAAAAGTAAGTAAATAAAATTAAAAAAATAATTGTGTTAAAAGGACTTACAAAAAAATATTACTAACCATTCTTTAACAAAGAAACTTCAATGCAGATCATGAAAATCTGCAGATATATGCAGAACTGGGGTGGGAAGTGGGGAAAGAAAGAGGAAGAACGGAAGCTGCCCCATGAAGTTATTTTAAAACTAAGATCATTTTTAAAGGGCAAATAAGAATCTGTGTAGTTAGTACTCATAATTAAAACAATACAGAGATTTCTCAGCTAAAAAATACTTAGGATATGCAAATGTTTTGATTTTTAACCTCAATAGGAAAGTTCAGATTTACATAAGGAGCACCTAATAGAAGACAGATCTGCCCATTTGGGCTAGCACCTGCTCAACCTTTTTTTTTGGGGGGGGGGGGGGTTGAGACAGGGTTTCTCTGTATAAGCCCTGGCTGTCCTGGAACTCACTCTGTAGACCAGGCTGGCTTTGAACTCCGAAATCCGCCTGCCTCTGCCTCCCAAGTGCTGGGATTAAAGGCGTGTGCCACGACCGCCCAGCCTGCTCAACCTTTCAAACTCCAAATTAAAAAAAAAAAAAATCCAAACCAAAAACCTGCTCTTCAGAAAAAGGAAACTCTCGATGAGCTGGACACACACACTGGTGCCCGTTTAGGTCACTCAGCACTTCCTTGTAGGCATTAAAAAAAAAAAAAAAAAAAAAAACACATAGACCAGAGATGGCTAAAAGTACTTGCTACCAAGTACCTATCAACCCAGATTCCATCTTGGGGACTTGTAAGGTGGAATAAAGAACCAACACCCAGAAGTTGTCCTAATTTCCTCAAGAGTGCAGTAGCATGCACCAATATGTGCACATACACAAATAAAAGGCTTTAATGTTTCTGTATTACCTTCTAAGCACACAAATTGATTTAATAGTACAGAATCATTTAATGTAGTCCAATTCTGGTTCTATTCCACCCTTCTCTGACTTCATGAATACCTACGTTTTCTGTTAGCAATCAGGCATTTCCATGGGCTTGCCCTCAAGGACCTAGCAACAGCAGGATAGGTGCCAACTAGGGCAATTTTCACCTTTGCCATGAGTCTCCTATCCTCCCCATCAATGCACTATATCCTCATATAAAAGCCCAGTGCCTCCTCCCCCTGCTCTTTCCCTTCTGCCCCATTCAGCCACAGCCTCTACATAGCTTCTTCCCAATAAACCTCCCATGTGCCTTCCAGGCCTTTCCTAACCTGACTCTAGTTAATCACTGCAGCCTAAATGTTCTCTGCTCAAATTCCCAACTCCCCTATACATGATCTCCATTGCCATGGTACCTCCATGTCCCTCTATCTGTAATAGTCCCTCTTCTACCACATCCTTCAGTGGATTCCTACCCAACGCTTTCCTCACAATTTCTTCCACTCACTTCTACTGGCAAGCATTCTGGTAAACCTTATGATTTAACATCACCACCACTTTAAAGCACCAGGTCATCCTTTTATTCGCTCTCTCTCCTTCAAAGAACTATCTTCTCTACTCATTTACTTTCAATTTGAAATTAATGAGAACATTTGGTTTGGAGCAGTGGTGGCACACACCTTTAATCCCAGCACTTGGGAGGCAGAGGCAAGCAGATTTCTGAGTTCAAAGCCAGCCTGGTCTACAGAGTGAGTTCCAGGACAGCCAGGGCTGTACAGAGAAACTCTGTCTCAAAAATAAATAAATAAATAAATAAATAAATAAATAAATATTTGGTTTGAGACAGGGTTTCTCTGTGAAGCCCAGGCCGGCCTTGAACCTTGAGATCCATCCTGCCTCAGCCTGAGATTAATGGTGTACACCAACACCACCCAGCCACCATTAACAGAGGTTTTGAACTCAAACTTTTAAGGGAGGCTTAGAAGAGAGGGTGTTAGATTATGGATGAGAAATAGTTACACTTATTTGAGTGAGCTGCTGGAGCATGGGAAGGGTTGGTGCTTTTGCCTTTATAATCAGTATAAAAATTCTGGTAGATACTTTTCCTTGAAGGCTCTTTTATACCAATCTTTATTTTAATTAACATAGCTTTGTTTCTAGTCTTCAAATTCTTTAGTATTTTACATTTGTGTAGATCTTAATTATTTCACAAGACTGTAGGGAAATTTCACAAAGACACCCTTCCCCTTGAGTGGTTTCTCCTGTGTAAGTACTAGTAGTCATTTTGCCAATTCTATGCATTAGTGCTTGCTTCCTGTAAAAATTTTCCTATAAAGTGTAGCACCTCTATCCTGCCTACTGTGTGTAGTTTGATGAACAGAAATATGAGTCTGGAACTAGGGGTGCTTGGGTTGGAATCCTCTTACTGGATGACTGTTCTTCAGTAGTTAAACTTTTCTGGGCCTCTATTTTTTTACTGTATGGTGGTGATAACAGAACCTATTGTTCACTGCTGTGAGATTTTAGGTATATCAGAACTGTTGTCAATAAATGTGAGCCAATTTATTTGTTTTTAGAGAATGGAGAAGTTTTTTGTTGCTTACTGCCTTCTCTCTTAAATATTATCTTCTGTATGTAGTCATGCCATTAGGCTGAAAAATATTTTAAATCCATGAAATAATTATTAGCTAACGTTAAAGCATCTGTTGAGGACTGGGCATGCTGCTCGGTGACAGAATGCACACCCTAGCCCTTGTGGTGTCCAGTACTGGGGGTAGGGCTGCTGACAGATATCCCACACAATGGATAATGTAACAGTCATAGCTACTCTGAGGACTTGCAAATCCCACTATTTTTCTCTACCCACACACACACACACCCATTAATCCCAGTGCTTTTATACAGTTCCAATTGTCCAAACTCCAACTCTGATATCACCTCTTTATGAAGTCTTCTAGCAACTGCTTGGGGGGGTTTTCTCTAAGAACTCAATGCTTTAAATATACCTCTACAGGTTTTGCTGGTTTCCACCTATACTTCAAGTAGGTGGGCACATTCATGACTCATCTCTGAAATACTTAGCCCAAGCAACACAGAAAACATTACATAGCATGTATTAGATAACTGTAGTTTTCCTTTGTTTTTGTTGCTTTATGAATTTATTTCCAAAAGAGTAAATCCTGCCCCTAAAAACCCAAGGGTATATAAAATCTGGTTAGATTTTCTATCAACTTACTGGACAAATAGTAAACATTGAGGAGTTATGCCGTCATATAACTAGCCCTGTTCTTCAAATCTTTCAGTGGAATATAGGTAATGGATAAGTAGGGTGATTGTTTAAATCAGAATTTCTCTAGTTTAACCAAAACACTCAAGAGGCTAAGTTCTTTGGAGGGTCATTTTGGTTTTTTATATACACAAAATATTAAGGCTAACAGATGGATCTCTGTGAGTTCTAGACCTCCATAACGAGTTCCAGGCAGCCAGTGTTATATAATAGAGAGACTCTGTCTCAAAAAAAAGACTAAAATGAATGTGTCTTCTAGCCCTGAGTCCACCCTCGTGATGAGGGCACAAGAACGAAGCACCACTTAGAAAGCAAGTTTACAGTTTTTATTAAGAGCACATAGCCTTTATCCTTCAGTTCTAGGAATCTTTAATAAGTCATTTTAACAGGCATTCAAAAGAAAATAGGCAAATATACAGTAACTGGGAAATATCAAATACACTGTGACATGTATATTCATCAGATTACTATATAGCCACTACAAATATTTCAAACATCTGTTAACATTATAATTGCTTGTGACATATTAACAAGAAAAAATAGGTTGAATATTGAATATACACAATATAGTTTCACTTGTGAGCAAACAAAAAATATCAGCAGTGGCCATATTTTGGTTACAAAATTAGTACTAATTTTTAATTTTCCAACTTATGTTCTTACATATTTTCTACTTTTCATACAGAACATATACTGTTATAATCAAGGAAACTCTTAAGGAAATGTGAACAAATTATTTCCATACATTCAGACAGGAACAAACTTTATATATTAAAAATCACAAACCATTGAGCCAGTGTATGGCTTTTTTTAAAAGCAAACTAAACAGAACCTGGAGAATCCAAACACTAATTTGAAATATACCTGTTCTAAACATATGACTTGAAACATGGCTCATAATGATCCCAGCATTTAAGTGAATCTGTGACCTCCAGGCCAGCCAGGTCTATATAACAAGTTCCAGGACACCCAGAGTTCCACAGAGACCTTGTCGTTAAAAAAAAAAAAAAAAAAAAAAGGAAGGGAAGAAGGGAGAAAGGGAGGGTAGGGAAGAGAAAGGAAGGGGAAGGGGAGACAGAGGAAAGGAAGGAGGAAAGGGGGCCAGGGGTTTTGGGAGGGTGCTGAAGCAGAAGAATAGCTACAAGTTCAAATATAGTCTAGTCTACATAGCAAGTTTAGGCAAGCCAGGGCTACACAGTGGAACCTTGCTCAAAACAACAAACATACAACTTAAACCAGGCATGGTGGCAGACTTTGAGACTGTGAGTTTGAAGTTTTTATAGGTATTTTGTTCAAAAATAACTTTGGTAAATTTAACATCCCTAATCATATAATGCAAACAAGAAGACAAATGTTAACTCTTTCCATGTCTTGTAGTAATAAAACTAACCATTTTGTAGTGATTGAGACCAAAACAACAAACTGACTTGAGACACTGCTGGTCAGTTGGCACAGCACAATCTCCAAGTTCCCTAATTTTCCCACCCCAGTTCATAGCCTTTATGAGAGGAGTTTTACCTTTTACCTTTCTCTGATCTGATGTCTTAAACTTTAGGTCCAGTATAAAGTCTCCACAGAATACTCACCTTCTGAGCATTGTGTGCCATCCCCAATGTCAGGTCTCCACCTCATCCCAACTGCTAAGTCTCTGGCCTAGCATCCTCCGAGTTCCCCTACCTCTCTGCTACTATCCCTCTCCTACTGGATTTGCCCAATACCGCTTAAAGTTTTCCACTTTCACCACATTCTGTGTTTTGCCTTAGTAGTACCTACTGTGCTTATAATTAAATAATTGCTTATAAAACTGCTTACTGCCCATCTTCTCTATACATGAAGAACAAAGTGTCTTTTACTCATTACTCAATCCCTAGTGGCCATCATCACAGAACCTGCTGAAACATACATCATATGGGTGGGTGAGTGGGTGGACATGTGCAGACAAAACATTGAAGAACACACACACAGGTGAATTACAAATGTTAAATAATGAGTTGTTGAGCAGTGATACATGTCTGTACACCTGGCTACTCGGGAAGCTTAGGCTATAAGATTCTAAGTTCAAGGACTATCTGAACTAAATAGTGAGTTCAAGCCTGGCCTGAGCAACTTAAAAAGACATTGTCTTTAAAACAAACAAAAAAAAAGACAAAAGAAAATTCCCTGGTAGGAGCACAGATCTAAATGTGGGGAGGCAGCTGAAGATATAGCTTGTTGACAGAGCTCATGAATAGCATACATAAGGTCTGTGACTTCAATCCCAGTGCCATAAAAAAAAAAATTATTACTAATCACAGGGGATTACTGGGTAGACAGAATAGAAAGCTCAAAGCCAATCCAGCCTGCCAGCCTGGCCTATACAGGTCAAGGCTAGTCTAAGACGCCCAGCAAGAAGCCTGTCTAAAAAACAAAACAAAACAAAACAAAACAAAGCTGAGGACGTAGCTCGGTAGCAGAGCACTTGCCTAGACTTCCTGAGGCCAAGGCTGAAGGCACAATAGGGAAAGAGGAAAAAAAATTAGTAACTTAGATAACAACTTTGGTCTCTGGGTACTTCAAAGTCCTTCATCTATTGATCTGCTCTCTCTGACCTGTACTCTAGACATGACCCCTCACTCCATGGGTAATCTGGTCCCAAAGACTAGCAGATGGATTCTCTGGCAGCCACATTCTTGATAAAAATCTTGAGTACCAATTATTATAAGACATGAAGAGTTTCTAACCCCATACTCAAGGAGTCAACCTTACCACTCCCTCGCTCCACAATCTAGCTCTCACCTATCTCCAAGTCCCCCCTCTAACTGACTCTTACTTAGAACCGGAATTATGTTGACCTTTCCTGGCCTCTAACTTTCAGCTATCCTTCTGCTTCTGCCTGCTCCCAAGTGCTGGGATTACAGGAATGTCTGATCATGCATAGCTTTACATTTTAAAAATATACAAGAATTTTCTAAACCCTGAATTCTTCATCCCACTTCCATATAAGCATTTCCCTTCCACTATCCTTCCATCTTTCTAAGAATAAGTAAAAATGGGAAACAAAATCCTTCCAGGTTCAAAACCTTGCTCAAACTTCAAGGTATCCAATAAAATCCCTTTCCTCCCTTATTCTCCAGAACTGTTGCCAGGTGATTATTCTACTTCCTGTCATCCAGCCCTCCTGCCCATGCTTACCCTAACTTCTATAGCTGACATTTTTAACTCTTACCTCCATTAATACATCCTGCATGCATGCTGCCAGCTTGGCACCCACTTCTTTAACATAAATGCCACAACAATCCCCTATCCAAGTCTTAATTCCTCTACATTGCCTAAGAGAAAAGAGTTGAAAAGAATAATCCATTTCTCTGCAAAGCATTTAAGGCTCTCCATAACTGATTTTTCAATACTCCTGATTCTCTGTCACACTTCGTGCTTCCGTTTTTTTCAGCTTCTTCCCTTGGGATGTCCAGGGGTTGCTGGACACCAAGAGGGGAAGGAAGGACAGAGCGGAGCAGAATTCCATAGAATGTCAGGCAGGGAAGGATGGACTGAAGCCGAGTTCTGCGGTCTCATTCTTCCTTTACACACCAGGCAGGAAAGGATGAAGTGAAGTCCAGAACTGGTGGGTCAGCAGGATCCAGGTCTGACAGTGAATGCTGGAGGAAGGGGGCCTGAAGATTTCAGTGTTATAACTTTTAGAAAACAGCTCTCTTAGACAGTAGTCAAGGAAACAGCTTGTGTGCACATACCTCATTCAGGGTGAATCAAGGGCTATATGTATTAATCCTGGAGAGTAGAAAGGGGTTCTTCTTAAGGTGAAGTTTCATTAGCTGAGGTTTAAGGTTCAGAGGACACCTCATTTGCATGGAAAGACATTCCAGGAAATTGAATCTGTAATTTCCTCCAAGGATTACATGACATTCCTCAGGTAGAAGATTGGGGGGTCAGGTTCCCCATATCAGGAGGAAAAGAAGAAACACACTAAGAAAAGGGATTCCTCCATTTTGCACTAGGAAAGCTATCCGAGCATAGCGGACTATAACCTTAGTAGCGCTGTGCAACACTTTATTCTTAAATTCTATGCGCCTTTATCTTCACTGTCTTCTCCAAGTCTCTAAATTTGTTCTTTCCGCCTTTCTTCCTAGAATACTTTTGGACTTGTTTTGTTTTTTTGAGCCAAGATCTCATTCTGTGGCCCAACTAAATGATCCTCAGCCTCCCAGAATGCTGAATTACATATATGAGTCACTATATCAGTATCTATTAACTTAATATCTAAACTAGTTGGCATTTTTTGCTGCCCATGCTTCCTCTGCCCAATCCCAGTCTGAACTCCACTGTCCACTCATTCCTCCCTAAGCCGGGACCTATATAGGCACTCTATATTTTCCCCATGAATGAATCGTTTCTAAATTTATCATATATCTCAAAATGGAATGAATGTAAGCTCTTTGCTAGGTAAAAATGCCTTATTTCTACAATGTGACTTAAGTATACCGTGTTCTGTCCATTTAGGAAATGCTCCTGATGTACAATGATGCAACCAAGACAAACACTAGCGGTTCCTAGTCCCAGGAACAAAGATGCTACTCCAATGGCAGCTCAATCTGCAGAGCTTTTCTTCAGCTGTTTTTGCTGCTTTCTGGAGAGGCACTTCCGATTGCTCTGTAGGACTGAAAGGTCAGACCTTGAGGAAGAGCGGTACCCTACATTTTCTGCTTTTATGGGCTTAATGATATGGCCTAGTTTGGTGCCAACCTTGGGAACTGTCAGCTTTTGGAAGGCCCTCTGGGTGTTCCATGTGTACCCAATAGGGTTCTGGATAGTCCTTTCAAATTGCTGGTGGTGGGTGAATGGGTGTGGAACCACCCGCACCTGATGAGCAGCTGCATGGATGTTGCGCTTCTCACTGATAATCACATTTGGCAAATTCTTGTCTTTTCTTGGAGAACTTTCAGGAGCTTTAATAAGAAAACGACGTCTTTTCTTGGCACTGGGCTTCAGGCCCATACCAACCCACTCACCCCATCCAGGCAATGACAGGTCCAAGTCCTTTGGCTTATTTGCCTCTATAGCTTCCCTTTTCTCTTTTAAGAACTCTCTTATGACATCATCCCCAGCAAAAGCTTCCTTTATTAGCTGCTTGTGGCCTGTTTCCACTTCATCTTCCAACTCCTGTACTGTGGGCACTGCCAAAGACTTCACAGAAGGAGATGGAGTAGTTAGGAGGTTCTGCAGATCAATCATTTGTTCCTTCTTTTTCTTCTCTCCAGAGGCATCAGGTTTGGTGGGTGGGTTCACTTCCCTCCACACCCCTTTCAACACAGGTCTAGAAATCCCCTTTTTTGGATGTCCCTCTTTGCCCAACTCTCCTTGTTGTTCCAGAGCATGTGCTCTCTCTAGCCTTTGAAGCACCAAGAACTTCTCTGAGGCAAGGTCTTCTTCCTGGATATGAAGAACAGTTTCCAGTGAACTCACTTTTTGATTCTCAAGTTGATGATTTTCCTTGTTGAGTTTCTGAAGCAATATTCTCGATTCAGATAATACCTCCTGGCTATTAGAATCTTCTCTTTCTTGGCCACCCATTGGCTTAGCATTATTGGAATCAACTCTTTCTTGAAAGGATCTTTTTTTCAACACAAGTTCTTCTGCCGCTGGTCTTTCATCTCCCTCACTCTCAGAAGACACATGGGCCACAAATTCAGGCATCTGTTCAGGGTCTGTCTTGATCTCACCTCTTTCTGCATTGCTGTTGCAACTGCTAAGCATCCAGGGATTTACAGCATCTGCATTCACCTGTAGGTCATCCATTCCATCAGAGACAGGGACTATTCCCTCTTCTGTGCATCCATCCTCTTCCTCACTCTCTGAAACTACCTGGAGTTTCTGTGTCAGTTCTCTGTTCTTAGCCAATTGTTCTTGCATAGCTTTTCGAGCCTCCTGGTCATATTTGGCCATAATTGCCTTTGACTTTGCCCATTTCCCACTGCCCTGGTGCTTAAGGCTCATCCGTTCTGTCATTCTGATTTTTTCCATTTTTTCCAGTTCTTGTAATGCAGCACTTGGGCAGTCCTTCCACAGCTGCTCGAACTCTTTTAAGGCTTTCTTGGCCTTCCCTTTCCTTAGAACTCTGTGGTACTTTTTACTCTTGATTCTCTTCTCTCTTCGAGCTCTAGCCTCATAATAGGACTGCAGAGCTCGCGTCCTCTGAAGCTCTGCTCGGTGTATTTTGGCTTCTTCCAGGCTCATGGCTTTGATGGAGGCTTTCTCCAAGGGAGTCAATAAAGGGTCTGTTACTGGCTGCTTGTTCTTATGAAGGAGGTTAAAAACTTCTTGTTCCAGGGGGGTTCTTGCTTTCCAGCCAGTGAATACATGTTCAATGGGAGCAACAGCTGGCGGCTCCTTCTCCATGGGAAAAACCAACTGCTCTGCTTGCCGGTTCTTCAGAACAACAGGATCCCACTTGGAGAGCATTTGTGAGGTTTTGCTGAATGCTGCTTCTCTGAGGGTCCGGTCAGCCTCTTCTTTGCTAAGGGGTGTGGTCAGAGTCTTTGACTTGACTCTATGCAGTTGTTTTTTCACAGCAGCCAACGAAGGTAATGCTGTAGCAGACCCAAGCAAATCGGAAAGGACCAGCTTTTCACCTGACCCTTCAGAAGTAACATTGAACTCTGACACTCTTAGACTAGCCTCAGATCGCTCTGCCAACTTCCATTTATTCTTTCTACCAAGGGAATTGACTGCTTCCAGGAGCTTTTGACATTTCCGTTCTCCATCACTGTCCCCCTCATCTTCACTTGTACTCAATGGGTAGTTGTCTGGCAAATCCACTAGTTCTTCCTGCTGGCTCGAAGCCAGAAGATCTGCCACATTCCTGGCCATGTTCATGGTAGGAGCCTGCTTCCTCTCACAGGGCCTGTAAGCTCTTGAAGAAGTGTCTGGTCTCACTCATCTTTGGCTTCATCTATTTACTGCCCACTGTCTCTGACATAGATGTTTTCTGAGAATCTTATTTATTGAGATGTCTAAAGAAGAAAAGACCCAGATAAATACCCCAGTAATTTCCATGTAGTCAACACATAAAATGTACAAGCCAGCCAGGATGGTGATATACAAGGCCAGCCTAGGCTATAGAATTCTCAGTCTCTGTGTCTGCGTGTCTGTCTGTCACCTGAAAATTATGACACAGGTAACAAAACCTCAAGCCAAAGCAAAGGAAAGGGAGGTGAAAAGAAAGAATCATGATAAAAACTTAGAGATCAGACAGAAATTTAAGTGCAACAGGAAATCCAATGGTTGTGGACAATGCCATACCACAAGTCCTAGTAGCATCATGGCAAGCAACTCAAGACAAGCTTCTCAACACACTTCCTGTATGTGACAAGTGAAAAGACCACCCCCATCTTCTCTACCTGCTATACCGTAGGAAATTTTAATCTATCCGACAATTACTTTCTGAGTTGATGAGTCACTGAATGAAATCATGCAGGTTCTTGACTGGATCTGCCTCAAGCCTCTGTTCTATGCCTCCCCAAAGGATACACTCTAATCCCCTTAGTCCTCAATAGCTGAACCTTCATGTAAATTTGTTAACCTATCAAATTCAGAATGCTTGTTCCTGTTTAATACAAAAACAAAGATAGAAGAATAAGAAAAAAGGATGAGAAAAAAATAGGAAAAGCCAATTAAAACAGAGAAGAAAGGCAGAGAGGCAAAGAAAGAAGCACACAGCTGTGTCCTCCTAAACTACCTGCTTGCTTCTTTGGCCCACATAACTCTTGTGAGGTAAGAATTTAAATTGTCATGTTACAAAAACTGAAATAAAAAGCTAACAGGCTCAGTGTTGCATGCCTGGAATCCCCAGCACCTAGGAGACTGAGGGGATTTTAAAATCAAGGACAGCATGGGGTTACATTAAAAATAAAAACAAACAACAAAAAAGCATGGGGTTACATTAAAAAGAAAAAAATAGAGATAGATAAAAATAAAAAAGCCTGCCACCACCCCACCATAAGAAAAACTTTTAGAAAGAAAACAAAGTCTGAGAAATAAGTGACTGACTCCCAATTTACATACCAAGTTTTATATACACGGATGGCAATCCACTCAGCAACCCAAAGTTGGTGATATGCCACTCAGGAGGCTAAGACTAAGGCAGATGGATCTCAAGTTCAAGGCCAACCTGAGCCTCACAGCAAGTTCAAGGTCAGCTTGGAGTTAACAGTAAGACCCTGTTTCAAAAAAAAAAAAAAAAATGCACCTTGAATTCATGTCATATGACATAAGCCTTGTCTAAGTAGTAATAAAAGCAGATGCCTGTTATCTGAATAAGAACACCACAATGTTAGCCTGCTTGCAATGTGCTAATGTAGAAATTCAATTTTCCCAAGAAATCTAAAGCCCAAGTCCAAGTTAACTAATATTAACTAAAACAGAATAAAACCAAGGGATGTGGTCAGTAAGATGGGTCAATGAGTAAAGGCTTGCCACTGAAGCCTGTGAACTGAGTTCAATCCCCAGAACCCACATAAAGTCAAAAAAGAACTAACTCCAATGCTGTCCTGACCTTCACCTGTATATTGTGACATGAAATCAGAAGGACTCTCAAGGGCTCCAATGCACACACGGCATGCGTGAGCGAGCGAGCGAGCGAGCGAGCGAACACACACATAATTTTTTAAATAATAAAAAAATTCTAGTTAATTTTCCCAATTTACAGTTTTCTATTTACATACAATATCTCAAACTCTACTAAAAAGGTTCCTAATACATAAGATACTTCTTTAAGGTGGGACTGTATACAGAAACCTGATGATACTACTTCATTAGAGAAGGTAAAGCCAGGCAATGGTGATGTACACCTTTAATCCCAGCACTCAGGAGGCAGAGACAGGCAGACCTCTATTGAGTTTGAGGCCAGCATGGTCTACAGAGCACTTTCTAAAATAGTCAGCACTATACAGAGACCCTGTCTTGAAAAACCAAACAGTGGAGGGCAGTAAAATATGAAAAACCTTCTACATTCTCTAAAAACAAATAAATTGGCTCTTGACTCATGTTTATTGACAATACTGCAGACATTATTTAAAATCTCACTACAGTGAACAATTGGTTCTAGTATTACCACCATTCAGTAAAGAAACTGAGGCCCAGAAAAGTCAAATAGGCTGCCAAAGGAGTCATCCAGGTAAAAAGATTCAAACCCAAACACTCCTAGTTCCAGACTCATGTTTCTACCATCAAATCACAATAGGCAGGATAGGGGTGCTACACTTTACAGGGAAATTCTTGCAAGAAGCAAGTCCTAATGCACAGAATTGGCGAAATGACTACTAGTACTCACAAAGAAGAAATCACTCAAGGGAAAGAGTGTTTGTGAATTTTCCCTACAGTGTTTGTGAAATAATTAAGATATACACAAACGTAAAATACTAAAGATTTTGAAAACTAGAAAAAAAGAAAGTGAAGCTATGTTAATTAAAAGAAAAGAAAAAAAAAAGAGCCTTCAAGGAAAAGTATCTACCAGAATTTTTATACTGATTATAAAGGCAAAATCACCAACCCTTCCCGTGCCCCAGAAACTTAATCAAGTAAGTAACCCTTGCTCATCTGTATTCCAACACCCTCTCTACAAAGCCTCCTTCAACATTAAAAATATAAGATCAAACCTCTGTTAGGAGAGGGGGAGCTGGGCAGTTGAGTGGTAGTATAAGCCTTTAATCCCATAGTGTTTGGGAGGCTGATGCAGGTGGATCTCAGAGTTCAAAGCCAGAATAGTCTACATAGTAAGTTACAGAACAACCAGGGCTACACAGAGAAGCTCTACCTTGAAAAATAAACAAAACCTTGTTAACAATGGGCATGGTGGTGTATCCTTTTAATCCCAGCACTCCAGATGCAGAGGCAGGAAGATCTCTGAGAAGGGAAGCAAGACCAGTCTGGAGATCAGCCAGGACTACATAGAAAGATCCTCCCTCAAAACTACAATTTAAAAAACCTCTGGGAAGTCCTTCCTATGTACATGTCTCCATTTCCTCACCTCTGGGCTTGACCTATTCTACCATACACCAGCAAGGATCAAAGAGTTCTCACAGGACCACTCCACAGAACTGACTGCCTCCCCTGCAGTGACTACTTCCGACTATCTCCACAGTGTCCTGAAATGGTTAATCCAGATTGTTAACTTACCTGGATTAATAAATGCCTAGGACATTAGTAAAGCAAGGGTCTGTGAAGGCATTTCCAGAGACAATTAGAACACAGAGTGCTAGCCTAATCCATGCGCTAACCCCTTGAGATACACAGAACAGCATTATTGGGAGGTTGAGTCTCTGGAGGAAGTAAATCACTAGTGGGATATTCTTAGGGTTTGATCTTACCCTAAAAACCTGCCTATATTTCCCTTTCCGTACTCCCTGGCCACCTTGAAATGAAATGCATTCTTTCTCTCTCTCTCTCTCTCTCTCTCTCTCTCTCTCTCTCTCTTTCTTCCTTTCGGTTTTTCAAGACAGGGTTTCTCTGTGTAGTCCTGGCTGTCCTGGAACTCACTCTGTAGACCAGGCTGCCCTCGAACTCAGAAATCCACCTGCCTCTGCCTCCCAAGTGCTGGGATTAAAGGCATGCGCCACCACTGCCTAGCTGAAGTGCTCTTTCAACAAGCCTTCCCCCACTAAAACGGAATGACATCTTGGAAACTATGAGCCAAAAGAAATCTTTTCTTGCCTTCATTGATCAAGAATTTTTGTCACAATAACACTGAGGTAACTAATATGCCACTCTTCCTACCTCCTTTGCTCTTATTCCTCCACAGGCAGCCTGACATGCACAGTTTTAGATTCTGTCATCTGTACAAAAAAAGGCCCCAAAATGGCATTCTCTACTTCTGAACACTAAACCAGTACCCTAAAAAGAAGGCCACTCCCACTTCTAAACCTAGAAACTTTTTCTCCCACATTCAATACCTAGTTCCTTCACAATGAGCCTCAGCTCAGAGAACAGTACATGCCAGCCCTCCGGTTGCCTGGGTCTGAAACAGTACCTTCTCTTCTCAGCTCATACTCATCGACATGCCATGACAGCTGTACGTTTAACATCTCCACTTTCTTGAATTTCTGTTCATCATATTAATCTCTTTAAATAAAGGCTCAGCTAATCTAGCATAGGATAGTGCTACGAGAAAAACCAGTGTTAATATGAAATTTTCAAAGCAGGGACTCTCTTAAGCACATCTTTGCACTTATTGTATATAGTATGCACAAAAGGACAATATTTGCATACAGCTAATATCCAATAAAAGTATTACAATTAGCTATATTGCCTTCATAAGTGTTTGAATAAATAGTTATATAGTTAACAGTTTCCCAATTCATGCATGGTTTTTCTTGCTTCCTAAGAACTGAACGTTGTTTATTTAGTTTTTGGTTTTTGAGACAGGGTCTCATTATGTGGTTCTGACTGTCCTGGAACTATGTGAAACAGTCTGGCCTCGAACTCAAAGACCCACCTATTTGCCTCTGGCTTCTAAGTGCCGGGATAAAAGGTGAGCCACCAAACTCGGCTTAGAGCTTAATTTTTTATGTTAAGTTACTGAGTAAAATATAAACTACAATGAATACTTAAAAAAATAATGATACCTACTGAAAATCAGAAAAGCTTATCACTGAGGGTCAAGCTGGGGGTGGGGTGAGTTTTGTGAGGTGGGAATTTCTAAATCATACCTTCAAATCCACGGTACATATAAAAGATTCTTGCTTCTGAACTATTTATCAGGCAAAAATCCAAGTTCTACAGGAATATTTAAACTTTAAGTACCCTAAAGGCAGGCAGAATGACTGCTTGGGAATATTCCCTATCTCATTCAGATACTTTGCAACTTGAGCTGAAATAACAATTTGGTGGGAAACATTGAAATTTAAAAAAAAAAATTAAATTATAGTTGCTCAAAAAGTTCTGAAGCTCTTGTTCTATGTACATTTAACTACAGCCTCAGAAGACAAATTTGACATCTAGGGGGAAAAAATCTCACATAATCCATTTTTAAAAAGCAGCTCCCTGGATTTCCATGTAAGTCGTAACACTTATTATAATCTTCAATCATTCAATACCTCACCTTTATTGCATATAACATAGCTTGCAATCACCCATTTATCTACAAGATCAACAGTATGTTGTCTAATTCCAGCCCAAGGGCACAGGCACACATCAACCTATGTTTCCCAGCACCTGCTAATATGCCTGACATGACTCAATGAGAAGGCTCTCAGTGAACAATTAATTAACTGAATCAGGAAGGCGCTAGTGGTGTCCCCCCCCCTCCCTCTCACAACGTCCTTCAGTGTGTCCTTCTTTCTTTGCCTTCTTCAAGGAGGACATCTTGGGACTCACAAGGTACCTGTCACTCTCGGCCCAAATGTCCTACAAATCCAGTAACTGGACTCCAAAGACACCAGGTGACCCTCTCCTGTGGCCACACTGCGGTCAACGCACTTTCTGACAGAAGAATCAGAGCCTAAGTTTCAGTCTTCAACTCTACATGTGAGGCATGCACAGGGAGTCACCAGAAAGTGCACTCTGAAGTCCTAACACTTCCCTTTCTGCAATAAGCTTTTCATGCGCTTATAGGGCCAACTCAGCAGCACCCTTCAACAACTTTCAGACCACCGTAGGCATACAAAACAGTCTAAACCAAACAGCTAAAACACCACCCACCTACAGCTCTGCAGAGTCCCTAAGACCCAAAAGAACCTAGAAACCCAAAGCCACGGTGGAACAGCAAACAGAGAGATGCATGCTACTAAAGCCATCAGATGTAAGTGTTCTGGATTCAGACAGGCCCTCCTGGGGCTCCAGCTTCTCCTACTAACTCAGATCTGGGCTAAGTTAATGTGTTCACAGTGCAGGTTCTCTCGCTGTAAAATTGAGAATATGCACTCGTCCCGGTGGACTAACAATGTAAACATAGCCATGCACAAAGTTCTTGGTATGTGGCCTTTAACAAAAGCTCAATAAAAGCCAGCTCTGTCATTCTAGGCAGTTACTATCATCAAGCCTGCCCTCTCTCTAATTTCTACAGGATTTCAAATAAAAAAAAAAAAATTGTCCTGCCCTTTCTAATTTGAGGGGCTCTATGTACAAGGGATCGGAATATCTGTTCTAGAACCAGAAGGACCATACAGTTGGATCTTCATCTGTGACATCCCTTCACTCAATCACACCCCAGGGCTGCCTGTGT